TAGAGAGCGCCGACCCCTCTGGAGATGTAGAGAGCGCCGACCCCTCTCGAGATGTGGAGAGCGCCGACCCCACCGGAAACCTGGGAGGTGAGGCGGCGAACCCCGCTCCCACGAAAACACCGGAACCAGCTCTGAAGTTCTGCTCGGCAGCGACCGGGCCGGGCACCGCAGACTGCCTCCGGAACCGTCCACCGCGGCGACGGCGGCGGGACGGTGGATGGACGGAGAGGAGCTCGTCCATCACAGCACGAGGAAGGGAAAAAACAAAAATGGGTGAGTTTGCCGAGTGAGAACCCTGCCCGCTGGGTTCTGTTCTGGTCGGGTCGTACTGTTAGGATTTGTGGTCGGAGCGAACCCAGAGTGCAGAACAGGGACTCAACTCGGCAGATATACAAAAATAGGTTTTTAATGATAAATGAAAAGTACAAAATAAATATGCTGACGGGGCAGCAAAACTTACATAAACAAGGAGGGAGGCACGGGGAACTCGGGAGACACGAGGAACTCGAGGAACCAGGAAAACAGAGAGACTCAGGAGACTCAAGGAAGCACACCCAACGAAGACGACCCGACAAAGGACAAGACAGAATAGGGTGACTTAAATACAAGGAGAAAACGACATGATGACAAACAGCTGGGACGAGACACAGGTGGCAACAATGGAAACTAACGAGGAGCACGAGGGAAACAGACACACCGGGCCACAGAAAACTAACATCCTTACAATATTTAGTTGGTTTTTACTGTTTTTTGTTTGTTTTTATTTTTGTACAGCACTTTGGACAGCTGCTATGTTGTATTTTAAGTGCTTTAGAAATAAATTGGTATAGTATGGTATGGTAAAGCACTTTGAGTGTCTTGACAAGATAGTTGGGTGTGTTTTGCATATGTTAAAAGTCTACTTTTGAGATTCCCACAGGAGGTTGGCTTGAAACACAGCAGTGAATGCTACCTATGGGACAGATCTGGTTGGCAGGCCATAGACAGAGGCAGTCCTCTGGATGGGGGACAAAACATTTCTAACTTAAAGAAGCTGGTCCAGATGACATTATGTAACCTTTTTTGTTATCTACGTGGATAATTGAGCTTACAATCCTTTTTTTTTTAGTCCTAATGTAGTTTTTTTTTTTTTTTTTTTTGACAGCTCTGGTCGAGGAACATGTCTGGACAATGATCCTCTGAAACGAGACTTTCTGTACCCAACGCTGGCCCCAGGACAGGTGTACAATGCTGACGAACAGTGTCGCTTCCAGTATGGAACCTCCTCGCGCCAGTGCAAGTATGGGGTAAGAAATTAGCATTGTTATCCAGCTCTGATACACACATTTTCCCCATACTGACCTGATGGGATGCCTGTTCTTTACTGTGCTACTTATTTTATAAAACACTTTAAAACCAGGGAAGCATGGTGGCACAGTTGGTAGAGCTGTTGCCTCTCAGTGAGAAGGTCAACGGTTCAGATCCCTGCCCAGGACTTTTCTGGGTCGAGCTTGCATGTTCTTTCCATGCATGTGTGGAATTACTCTGGGTACTCCAGTTTCCTCCCACAGACCAAAATCATGCAGGTTAGGTTCATTGGTAGCTCTAAATTATCCCTAGATGTAATTGAGAGTGTGAATGGTTGTTTGTTTCATTTGTCTCTATGTGGCCCTGTGATGGACTTACGACCTATACAGGATTTACCCGGCCTCTCGCCGTGATAGCTGGATATAGGCATCAGTGACACCCATTACCCAAAAATGGAAGAAGTGGGTAAAAGATAATGGATGGATGGGTGGATAAACAACAAATAAAAAACATGTTTGTTGTTTAAACAACAACCTTGTTGTTGTTTAAAAGCAACAACAAGGCCAGCCAAAGTGCAGTACAGTAAAAATAATCAGGCAAAGGACAAAGGATAACAAGCATTACGCCAATGTCCCCCATCTCTGAGGGATTTATATAATGAATATTTGTAGTTTTGGAGATGAGTGTTTCTTTGGACTGGAATTCAACAGTAGATGCAAGTAAACCTTACAGTTTGTGGCACAAGCTATTCAAGTGGGTTGTAGTTACACTGTGTAGAAGAACAGTTGTAATTTATTATCATTATTGTTTTGTTTTTTTTTGTTTTGTTTGTTTGTTTGTTTCTCTGAGGCAGCTCAGAATGACAGATCCTGATGAGTGAAGAAAGTAATTTTATCTACCATCAGGTGCAATGGTGGAGCCAGAGGTTGGTCAGTGGTGGCCTTGGCTTCCATAGGTTCATCTTCAGCCACCCCAATCATTTGAAGAAACTATACCTTTAAGCAAAAAAAAAAAAAAAAAAAAGGTTGTAAGCACAATCATCCAGGTAGATAACAACAAAAAAGGTTAACTCATGTCATCGGGACCAGTTACTCTTCAGTGAGAAACGTTTTATCCCCCATCCAGAGGACTTCCTAGGTTTATGGCCTGCCAACCAGATCTGTCCCATAGGTAGCCTTTACTGCTGTGTTTCAAACCAACCACCTGTTGGAATCTCAAAAGTAGACTTTTAACATGTGCAAAACACATCCATCCTAAACAATCAGTCATCAAGTACAATATTCTAATGTTTTAGGCCAGATGGCTCACTTCATTTAATATTTTTTGTTGTTATCTACCTGGATGATTGAGCTTGCAACCTTTTTTTCTGAACCACTTTGGCCTTGGTTATCCTCAGGCTGTTTCTGTGAGTAGCAAGTTGGCCTCTGGCCTAAAATATTGATCGTGCGGCTCATCCATCAATCAGCCAATTGTGTGTCATGTCCAATCTTATTTTGAAAAACTGCGATAGAGCGAGTCCATGAAAAACAAACCCATGAAGTAGCGAGGCTATACTGTATTCATACATGTTTTGAAACTGTTCTTATTTTTCTAGTTTTTGAAGTGTATATTTAATGTATATTGCTGATTTTTTTCAGTAACATTTGATTTATTATTGTGTAGGTTCAATAAAGAGATGGTCATACATTAATTGGTTTAATAATAAGGGGTTTTGTATACTTTATTTAAGACAATGTATTTAAGGCACTCCCCCAAGGGGGAGTGGTAGCACAGAGGTGGTGAGTGGTGGCACAGCTGTTAGAGAACATCGGCCTGTGATCTGAAAGTCACAGGTTCAACTCCCTGGACCGACAACATCAAAGTGTGGGTGGAAAAGGTGAAACACCCACACCTTCCTCCACCTTCATTTGCCCCACTCTGGGCCCTTGAGCAAGGCCCTTAATCCCCATCATCTGCTCCCAAACAGGTCTCTCTTGAAAATTACTTCTCGTGACTCAATGAGACTGCCTGTGTAAATAAAGGGTAAATAAAAATACAAAATAAAAAATGTAATAGTTCATCTGGGTGAGACTGGTGTCTGCAATAGAAAAGCAAGCATTAAATCTGTCATTCTTTGGGTCATAGGTTCTATGTGGAAGTGTTTATGCAGAAAAGTGGCTGCTGTACACTTCTCTGCTGAGAAGCAGTAGACCAAGAATGTTAGAAAATACAGCCATCTTTATAACAGTTGCAACAAAACTTCCAAAGATGGTTAAAAAAAATAAAGAAATGTAAAACGATAATCAAAGCACTCGTGGGAGAAGACTGCATAGTTTTGTGCACAGAGACAGCACAGAGGCACTGGCAGCAATCCCTGGCTGTGTATGCCTTAGGTTGGTGGTATAGGCACATGTTACATGCATTTGCTCATTATTTTGAACCACCTTTCAAAAATGATGGCAGTTTTATGACAAATTTGTGCATCTCCTCGGTTAACAACAGAAATACCAAATTCTCTTCATCTACGTCCTTTGTCTCCAACAGAAAAAAATACATATAAGCAAAATGTCAGATCATCTGTCCATGAAGTGAATCTCTGTCCTGGGCCTTCCTTGGGGTCTCCTCCCAGTCGGACATGCCCGAAGCGCCTCCCTAGGGAGCCGTCCAGGGGGCATCCTTACCAGATGCTCGAACCACCTCAACTGGCTCCTCTCGATGTGGAGGAGCAGCGGTTCTACTCAGAGTCACTCCTGGATAACCAAACTTCTCACCCTATCTCTAAGGAAGAGTCCAGCTACCCTGTGGAGGAAACTCATTTCAACCGCCTGTATCCGCAATCTAATTCTTTTGGTCACTACCCAGAGCTCGTGACCATAGGTGAGGGTAGGAACATAGACCGACCGGTAAACAGAGAGTTTTGCCTTATAGCTCAGCTTTCTCTTCACCACAATGAACCGGTACAGAGTCTAGGTATAAAATCCAACATTTTTCAGTCAGGTCATACGGACAGTTTCTTTTTTTGTGCTGAAACGTTTTGCCTTTGATCCGGAAGGCTTAATCAGTCAAGGAAACGCACAACAAAACTGATTCTTTCTCAAACAGCTTACTCCAAAGTGGAACAAATCAGTTCTGCTTGTGATTAGATGGTCTCTTTGGTACGCCCATCCTCCATTGCCGGCCCTCTTCCTTGTTGACAGTCTTGTCAAACTGGTTGAAAACAACAAAGTCCATGCTCAATAATCCAGGTATAAAATCCAACATTTTTCAGTCAGGTCATCTGGACAGTTTTTTTTTTTTT